CAGGCGCCATCGAGGCAGCGCGAGGAGCTCTTCCTGCGCTCCGGGCACGGCGTCACTGGTGCTACCTCACCTAACCTGCGCGCCCGCACAGCGCCTCGGCCCCAAGCGCCCCAAAAGGGTAGCAGCCTCGGGGACTCTGCGAAGGTGCAACCCGGGAAGCCCTCGCGGCGGCGCAACACGCAGGGGGCCTTGGCCAGAAAGGGACCCGAGAGGCCTCCTGCCGCTCCTCTCCGCTCCTAGGGATGGGGGCCCCACCGCCAGTGGAAACCCTGGCCCCTCTGAGGGGCCTGGGGCTTTGGCCGTAGCTTCGCGTCAAGAGGGTATTTTTCCCAAACGAAACCGCTTCATTCGTTTGTTGTTTCGTTCGTTTGGGCAGCAGTGCCGCAGAGAATCAGAATATATCAGCCAGAGCCCCGGCTCTCTTCGCCGCGACCCCGACGTTCCGCCGCCGCGCTCCGAGGCGTCCCCAGCCCGGGGCTGCCTACCCTCCCTGGCACAGTCTGGGCTTTTCCTTCCCCTGAGAGAAAACCCAAATGTTCTTCTCAAAGTCTAATAAAGGGTTCCGCGGCTATCTCCGGGCTTGGTTGTTGAAGCAGGTTCTCTCAGCGCACAGCCGCCACGCTACTCTAGAACCGGGTCTCCAAATTCTGAAAATGACCGGGCTCCTAAATTGGAGCCGCTTATCCTGTAGCAAAGCCAGGACTCCAAAGCCCAGATCGCAGTTTTGGGAACTTTAGGCTGGAATCCAAGTCCCAAGATTTTCCGGCCTGTAGGAATTCCCTGAGCCTGAAAAATATTTGAACCCACTTTGCGAAATTAAGGCTTGGTTATTCTCTTGGCATCCCAGTGACCTATGAAAGCCACCAGCGCTACAGAAAGAAAACCCCAGGTTGCTATCCATCCTTGGTAGGTGGCTACTAGCTGTGGCAAAGGACACAAGTCTAGGGTAAGGGCAAAAGCTACAGGCAATGGGGACAGCATTGGGGATGACTTGCTGTACCCCATCCCTTTCCCCAGGCTGCTTTGAGCTTCCACATCTCTGCCAGGGAAGGAGAAGAGAGAGACTGGAGCACAGTGACCAGGCCGGCAAGATTCTAGGATGCAGAGGCAGCGTTTGTTGACCTCCAAGACAGACTTTGGAGCATATGTCTCTCAGGAAAGCAGCTACTGGGAAGAGAAGGGAAGAGAAGGCTGTGGAGCAGCCTGAGCCGGCCCTTTGCTCCCAGCTGTGACTAGATGCTGCTACAGTGCTTTCCTAGCCTTTTCTTCCCCTCAGCTCAGCCATTCTCAGGAGCCAGACAGGCATCCTGAAGACATCTCGGTGAGCCATGGGCCAGGAGAGCCCTGGGTCCTACCAGCCGCTTAAAGTTCCGCATTCCATACTTCCATTGTGTGCCACTGGCAGCCAGCTGTCCAGCCCAAGTATATCCCAGCTCTCCCTTTGGACGAGCTGGGGAACCCCAATTAGCAGGAGGCTTCAGTCTAGGGCCCAAGAAGCATAAAGAATCTAACTGGGTAGTTCTGGCCTCTACCTGGGCACTCCTGTCCCCCTCACCCAGTAACTGCTTATATTCCAAAAATAAGAGCTTTTTATTGGGGGGGGGTCTTAGGTCAGGCAGAGGTAGGTGGTCCTGCTGCACTCCCAAAACTGGGTTTTCTAGTTTGAACTTCGCTGTGGCCTAAAAGGCTTAGGACTGGAATGTCCCAGAGATTCACGGATGGCCCTGGGGCAGGACATAGCACATTCCTTCCTTTTTCCTAAAATCCCTTGATTCTGGGAGTAAGGATTAGAGCAGGGTACCCCAATGGGTAGGTAAAAGGATCCCCCCATGAGGGTCCTCCATCCACCCCTCCCAAATTAAATTACTAAATCATCCTTGGGCCTACGGTCTGTTTTGAGTCAGCCAGCTTTAGAAAGGGTCCTTGTGGTAAATACTTCAACCCCAACAACAGCCTTGGCTCCTCTCTACCTCAGGCAAGACCCTAATCCCCGAATTTCTTGAAAAATCACAGAATGGTTTCTGGCTCTATGTGGCTAGAGCAAGATGGGGGTACAGAGATAGGGCACATGGTCCCAGCACCTGTAGGTTCCTTCCCTTCCTCTTCTCTTGTATCATCCATCAGCAAGGGAGCTGGAGGCTGAAGCAGCAGGCACAGTCCCATGTTGGACTGAGTTTCATGAGGCACAGTGCTGGTCAAGCCATGTCCAAGGTCACACAGTGAAGCCAGGGGAACATGGAGCCTCTACTGAGAGACTGCTGCCCCCTGTTCTCCGTGTGCATGCATGTGTGTGTGTGTGTGCGCCCACGTGCGCTTGCACGCATGTGCGCGCGCACACACACACACACACACACACACACACACACACGCTGGCCAGAGCCTCAAACTAGGATAGTGAGCAATGGGAGTGAGTAGCTGGGGAAAAACAAAAGTCTCTCCAGATCCTTTCTCTGGCCAACACCCAGAACCAGGCCATAGCCTCCGCGCTTAGCCCTTTCCCTACCCTCCTTTTTTCAGACTTGCTGAACAACAGACTCCGCGGTGCTCCCCACTAGCCCCAGCCCCTCTTTGGTGCTCAGGGCCAGTGGGATAAGGGGCTTTGCCAAAGGGTCTGAAGGCCTTGCTATCCACACAGCAGGCATCAAGATTTCCAAATAAAGAAACTATTGTGCCTGCCTGGAGCACTGCCAGAAGCTTGAACCTAGAGGGGCACACAGCAGGTGCTCAATAACTGCATTAAATGTGTCATAGCAAGAGATGCATGCCCCTCAGACTGAGCAGCTGGAGGTGGGCAACGTCACAAAATAGTCCCTATAGGCAGACCACTCCATTCCATGTCCCCACCCAGAGGTGCACTGTGATTCTCACCTTGGCCTGACATTCAGTGGGCTTAGAACACATTTCCTACTCCCTACCAGCCAGCTTTCATAACAGATGGCACATAGTGTGCGTCCATGTGTTCACAACATATCCATGTGGAAGTGCAGTATGGATGTGCACACTCTCACTCCCATGGCCTTTGTGCATTCAGGCTGTCCTGAGATACAGCAGCCACAAGGATAATGTGTGAAGGGGCATTCCCAGCACCTGGATACCTCCTTGAAAGGAGGTGTCTGATGCTGCCTGAGACTCAGCCAAGAAATGCAGTAAAAGGTGGAGCTAAGTACAAATGCTGGACAATTATGCTTCCCCATGCCCCTCTCCCCTTGACCGAGATGAATTTCATCCTACGGATCTCAACTTGGAAGGGAAAGGCCAGAGTCTTTGGGCCTTCCTAACTGGACTTCCTGGGGAGCATCCTCTATGTATGCCTTAGCCTGTACTTCCGGTGGTCACAGACACCTTGTGAAAATGAGCTGGGCTCGTGATGGCAAACCTGTTAGAGTTTTCAGTGATAACAGCCTGCTGCAGGCACACGCATGCCATAGGTTCACCACCACTGGGCTGAAGAGCTATCCCCTCTCTCCAAAGCCTGGAACTGAGCTTCTCTGACTGAGGCCAAGGGAGTTCTGCCCTTCGTGCCTGCCTTTGCCCCCACGGTCTACACCAGCGAGCTCAGCCTGGGGCCTGGGGCCTCCTTCTGATGGGGTTAGGTGAAGTCTTGAAGACAGAGCCTGTGGAGCCCCCCAGATGCTGACACCATACAGTCAGTCCAAGCAGGGACCCCAGGCGGAGATGAGGATGCCCTGCCTTCTGAGGAAAGGGCATTAGATCTAGAGAGTAGGGAGGGTCTTCTCCCCCAGGCCATTGTCCTGCCTAGCTGCTGTGTCTGGTGGAGCTGGTCAGCAGGTGAGGGGCAGAGGCAACCTGGGGTCTGGCTGTGGCCAGAGAAGCAGGTCAGGGCCGCGCCCTACGGCCCCAGCTGTGGACTGTTTGCTCAAGATGCAGAGGTCTTGGGGCCAGTTAACAATTGTTGAGCAAAATCCTTCGACAAACTTCACTCAAGCGGGAGGACTTAAGGAGGGATCACTCCTGGGAGCTGTAAGGGTAATATCTCTACCTGTGGCCAGCCAGGGCCTCCTGGAGCCACACCTTCCTACCACCCTGTAATGGAACCTAGAAGACTGACGCCTTCCTGAGCTGCCTGCGCATTCTAGAGCGACAGCAGTAACCTGGCCTATCAAGCCTGTGGCTGAACCCTTGGGAAGCGGACCACAACACCCGCCCCCCCAGCAAAGAGGCTGCCAAGGCCAACTCTATGGCTGCCAAGGCCAGCACCTGGCTGGCCCAAGAAGGTGCAAAACACGGGGAGAGGTGGAAAAGGCAATGGAGCCTGGCTGGACTCTTGGGGTCTCCCGCTGAACTCGCCAGCGGCCTAGAGCCAGGAGAAACGTTTCGTCTGATTAGAAGCCATCATTTCTATCCCAATCCCGGAAAATTGACTGCGGCGCAGAGAGGGAGGCCTGAGGAGCAGTGGCCTTAGGGGAGAGAGGGTCCAAGTTAATTAGGAGGCAGCATCGGGGGCCCATTAGAGCAAAGGCTGCTGTCATTCAGCCGGGCTAAGTTCCCGAGAGAAGAGGCCGGGAAGGAGGGGCCGAAGGCCCCTCGACAGGACACCGCCGGGAGCTGCCGGAACGGGCCCGGGCTCTGCCCCCGCCCTGCGCTGTGGCTCGAAGGAGCCGCTCCGCGCGGTCCTGTTCGGCGAACACACAGCCGTCCTGGGCTGTTCTCGACAGCGGCTGGGGACTTCGAGGAGGCCCAAACAGGAGTTGACTCAAAGCGAAACAAGTCATTTGGGGCCTAAGGTGGGCACGAGCCGCGCGGGGCTTGCAGGCCAGATGCATTTCTTTTGTGAGGCCGAGGGAGAAGTCGGTGTGTCACCGGGGAAGGAGGGAGAGGCGCGGCGAGGCCGCGGGGGGCGGGGAGGCGGCGGGAAGGTGGCTGCGGAGGGGGAGGGAGCGGGCGAGGCCAGAGGGAGGGAGGGCGGCGGAGAGGGCGCGGCGGCGCGGGCGGCTCGGGGTTGGATTCCGCCCGCGCTCCTCCGCTCGCTCGCGCGCTCCCTCCCCAGCCCCCTCCCATCAGGCCCACCCCACCCACCACCCCTGGCGCAGGGACTGCTGGAACCTGGCGGTGCGCACTGTCGCTTTAAGACAGACACTGCCGGCGCGGTCCGGAGCCTTAGAAACCGGCCCCGGATCGGGAGCCTGAGCCGAAGTCGGGGCCGGACGGGCGGCTGAGGCCCGAGCGGCGGGAGCGCAGTGCGGAGCGCGGAGCCAGGCGCCCGGTCGCGAAAATCCGCCGCCGCCCGTCCGGCCCCGCAGCCCCGGGCAGTCCATGGAGCGGGCGCGGCGTCGCTGCGGGCGCGGGCAGCCCTGGGGGGCAGCCGCTTAGGCGCCACGCTCTTGTCCCCGCAGGTCGCAGCCTGGGCGGTCGGGCGCGCCCAGCTCCGGCCCCCGGAGCGCCCGCCGCGGTCCCCACCTCCATGGACGCCTTCAAGGGGGGCATGAGCCTGGAGCGGCTGCCGGAGGGGCTCCGGCCGCCACCACCGCCACCGCATGACATGGGGCCCACCTTCCATCTGACCCGCGCCGCAGACCCCCGCGAGCCGCTCGAGAACTCTGCCAGCGAGTCGTCGGACACGGAGCTGCCAGGTAAGCGCGGGGTTCCGCGCGGCGCGCACCAAGCCCACGCGGGAGCCAGGAGAGGGCCTGGCGCCCGCACCGCGAGAGCCAGGTTCCCTCTTCGCCCCAGGAAGGTCAGGACCTTCCTTTTCCCGGGTCTCGATCTGATGGTGAACGTGGAAGTACACATGAGAAGGCACTTCCACGCGGTTCCCAAGCGCCAGGGACCGGCAGATGCACCAGCCTACAGCAGAGGGTTGGACTGACAGCCCATCTTGGTCAGGGTAAAGGAGAACGGGAGGAGAAAAAGTTGGCTTTGCGCAACTAGGCGCGCTGAGGAGCCGCTGGACGGAAGGAGAGAACCAGACCGATCAGGGGATGTGGGTGACTGGACTGGAGAAAGTGCCCAGAGATGGAGAGGGGAAGACGAGGGATCGGACGAGGGGCAGAGGGTGCAGATTGTGAGAGAGAGAGAGACACGAAAGAGAAGGGGAGGGCGGGCAAAGTAAATTGAAGGGTGGCCAGGGGCACCTCGAGTAAAAAGATTCGGAGGGCAGCGAAGGGGAGCGAGCGAAAGGGGTGCGTCCCGATTCCCAGCAAAGCTGGCGGAACCCGGATCCAGGGATCCCGGCCCACGTGCATGGCCGGAGCTGAGAGGCACCGGGCAATCCAATCAGGGCCCCTGTCGGCTCGCGCACGTCTCCCTTCGCGCTATTTGTCCAAGAGCTCAAGCCTTTTCCCCAGCCGCGAGCTGAGCCGGCGAGTGGGTGGCGCGGACAGTGGCGCGGCGAATCCCCGGCCGGTCGGGGTCGCCCGACTCTCCGCGCGGCTCCCGTGCTCGCAGCCCTAACTCCGGGCTCCGCAGGCCGCGGGCGCCTCTTTTGCGCTCATTTTTAATCCACCGCTGAAGGTTTCTCTCCGCATTTTTAGTCTCTATTTGTTTCTGTTTTGTATCTCTAAGTGATCTTACCTGTTTTGGTTAAGAGATAATAAAGGCTGGACTGTACTTTTGTTTTCAAAAGTTTTATGCGTGGTGTTTAATTGGTTATTTTTAAAACAGAAACAGCTATAGTTTGATTTTTAAACCAAATTTATCTATATGAATCAATAATTTTAAATGTATTTTTATTTTGAAAGAATTAATAAGCTAGATGTATGTCTTTGGAATTCAAAATATCTACATGCAAAATTGGAGAGATTTTAAAAAGTCAATCCAAAATGGCGTATTTCTCTGAGGTTTTCTCAAAATCCATTTACAGTGTTGTTATTTTGGGAATTTAAATCATCTTGATATAATGCTGTGTTTCTCTGAGATTTAAAAATTATGTCCACAAGGGTGTTATTGGAAAGGGGTTCAATATATATCTACAGCGATAGGTGGATTTTTTTAAAATCCCAGAGAAATAAATGTGTCTGCTTGCGTGGAGTTTATACACGTACAGCTCTGTATTTAGTTAGAGGTGTGTTTGCGTGGAGGTCTCTGGCTTCTTCATTTACATTTGCTGTGTTTCTACCTGCCTGTTTTTGAGAATTTGTGACCTTTTCTGTGTTTTTAGGCAAAGAGCTGTGAACTTTTCTGGGCTTCTGTTTTGTTTTTAAATTCTTTTTCTTTATGTTTCAACGTTTCTATGACTGCATGTGTTTTGTGCAGCTTTAAAGAAACGCTGAAGCCCAAAGTTACTTAGAGATGTCTGTCCAGGCTGCAACTGGGGAGTTTTCAGGGCCGTGGGACTGAAGGCCTGCAAGTTAGGTGGAAACCCTCTGCGCCGGGGCTCCTGCTCAGCCCTGCGGAGAAAAATAAGTAGAGGGCTTTCGGGCCACCTGGCTCAGACCCCACTGACCACTGTCTTCAGTCTGGAAAGATCTGTTTCTAGTTCAGAAAAAGCAGACACCCGCTTCCCTCAGAGTTAGAGCCCAAAGCGCCAGCAAAAGCTATGCATTTGTGGGTGACAGCAGCAGCTGGGCCGGAGCCTGAGCCGAGCCCTAGGAGCAGGCCCTGCCAAGCCAGGAACCCAGGCCTGTGGCTCCGGCTCTTGGGCTCTTTTCTGCTGCACGCCGGACCGGTGGTGTGTACCGGCGACCAGCACCCAGACAGCTCTTTGAAAGGGGGACCTCTCCCAAGGCCCCGGCGGGAGGGAGGGCCGCAAGCGCAGACCGCCGGCGCTTCCCGTTTCGGTGGAGCCGGGACCGGGTGCAGCAGGGCATAAGCCCGAGGTGACCCACGCCCGTTCCCGCCTGCTGCAGAGAAGGAGCGCGGCGGGGAAGCCAAGGGGCCCGAAGACAGTGGCGCGGGCGGCGCGGGCTGTGGAGGCGCTGAGGACCCAGCCAAAAAGAAAAAACAGCGGCGGCAACGCACGCACTTCACAAGCCAACAGTTGCAGGAGCTAGAGGCCACGTTCCAGAGGAACCGCTACCCGGACATGAGCATGAGGGAGGAGATCGCCGTGTGGACCAACCTCACCGAGCCTCGTGTGCGGGTGAGCCAGGGGCGCGCGTCTAAGGGTGGCGGTGTAGAGGGCTGCAGGCAGGCGGCGGTGCTCGGAAGCCAAGCCTGCAGTCACACTTTCACTCTCGCACCACTCACGCCTGCTCCCTCCCTGCGGCCAAGACCCCCACCTTAGGCCCAGGCTACCCCTTGTCTGCTAGGCCCCTAATGCCCCTTGCTGCTGCCACTTGCCAGCCCTTCTCACTTGGCCCTTGGGCTGTCCTGCAGCCCTGCCAAAGGCTGTGGCTCTGGTGGGACTCTCCCATGCCTGGAAGAGCCCAGGAAACATTCGCATGTTACGGGATACTCAAGGCCAGAAAGTTGGCAAAGAATTCCCTGCTGCTGGGGACCTGTGGTTCAGCAGCCTTACTCCAAAAACGAAAGGGAAAGACAGGTCCTGCCTGGCTGCCTCAAAGAGGCCTGAGAGGTACCTGGGTTTGGGTCCCAAATTTTCTCAGAGCAGTGGTTTCATTCTGCACTTCTCCAGAATCTCAGCATAGGTTCCACCTTCCCTGGCCATCCAGCCAGGCATTCGCTGGACCCTTGGCCTTATGTTACTTACTACTATAAGGCTGGGGGTCTCCCTGGGGTAGGGTGGGGGGCTGGTGGCTCTCCCAGTAGTCCCTTTTGGGATGTAACATCTCAGACCCAAGACCAGACTGTACTCTCCCTCATCTCACTATTTGGCTGTCAGTAAACACAAGGTTTTCCTGACAGAGGAGCAAGGGAATCATTTCTCCCCTGGGTGAACAAATATTTAAATAGATATTAGGAGCACCTCCTAAGCCAGACCAAAGTCCTGCTTGGCCCACAGACTCCCTGCTATAACCCATCTTCACCCTTCCCCGGGTCAGGCTGGCCAGCCTGGTGGGACTTGGAGGGAAGACACTTCGATCAGTAGTCCTGAGCTCACTAATCCTGCTGAGGTTTATGGTGGCAGGGTGGGGAGGAGGTGGAATCAGAGTTAGCACTGGGGTTTGGGGAAAGCTGAGATGCAGGGCTCCCAAGGGTGAGCTGGGAGGAAACAGCCTTGGGCTGGAGAAGGGTCGAGGACAGCAGCGCACATTCACTGGGTGGGCTGATAGTGAAGAATCGGGAAGCATCTGGCAGCTGGGAGAGAAGAGCTTTTTACCAAACTCTGGGAAAGAACGAAGGAGACTAGAGAGAAATGAGTAAACTCAAGGAAATTAAGTATTTGCAGAGAAACATATCTGGCATATGTTTAGGTGGCAGGAAAGCAATATTTAAGGGAGAACCAAAAAGATCAAGTGCTTAGAAAAAGAATCAACTATTTAAGAGAAACAGTGAAGGTCAGACATTTGGAAAAAAGAAAAAACTAAATATTTGGAGGAGAATAAAAAAGATTAAAAATGAAGGATAAAGAAGAAAATAGACTGAGGAAGAAGAAAGAGGTTCAGATAGGGATAAACATTTGGGGCAAAAAAATGCAAACATCAAACATTGCCAATAAAGATGAGAACAGGCTATTTGAGTGGTGAAAATTAGACTGAAGAATTGGAGTCAGAGAGTCTTATGTTTCAGGGAAGAAAGAGGTATCTTTACTATCTGCGGAAGAAGAAAATGGATGGAATATTTAGAATATAGATGGGGACTGGTTTGGGTGAGAAAGCAGAGAGCAGACTGAGAGAACGAGGAAAACGAATATTTGTTAAAGCAAAAAGGAATTCCAACTAGGAGAAGAAAACACATTTAATTGGAGAAGAGGATAAAGATCGAAAAAAGAAAAAGACTATTTTCCTGGGGATAGGAGAGGAACTATTATGGAGAGAAGGTAGAGGCAGAAATATCGGTGGAAGAAAAGAAACGGTATTTGCAGAGAAGGAAGCTGGAGAAGAGCTCCGGATGGCTGGGAGGAGGGCGATGAGGGGCCCTTGTTGCCTTCGGCAGCCCTGACCCTTCTCCCGCCCTCTTCCCCAGGTCTGGTTCAAGAACAGGCGAGCCAAGTGGCGAAAGCGCGAGCGTAACCAGCAGCTGGACCTGTGCAAGGGCGGATACGTGCCACAGTTCAGCGGCTTGGTGCAGCCCTACGAGGACGTGTACGCCGCCGGCTACTCCTACAACAACTGGGCCGCCAAGAGCCTGGCACCAGCGCCGCTGTCCACTAAGAGCTTCACTTTTTTCAACTCCATGAGCCCGCTGTCATCGCAGTCCATGTTCTCGGCACCCAGCTCCATCTCCTCCATGACCATGCCGTCCAGCATGGGCCCGGGCGCCGTGCCCGGCATGCCCAACTCGGGCCTCAACAACATCAACAACCTCACCGGCTCCTCGCTTAACTCGGCCATGTCACCGGGCGCCTGCCCGTACGGCACACCCGCCTCGCCCTACAGCGTCTACCGGGACACGTGCAACTCGAGCCTAGCCAGCCTCCGGCTCAAGTCTAAGCAACACTCGTCGTTCGGCTACGGCGGCCTGCAAGGCCCGGCCTCGGGCCTCAACGCGTGCCAGTACAACA